AATATGCTTATCAAAAAATTACAGAATTATATATAAACAATATGGTGTTGTCTTGACCGTGATAGTTTAAAATTTTCAGAGGTAATTTTTACATACAATGTCCATTTAATAAATAGTAATTTTGATACAGAAAATAATGATTTTATATTCTTACCTGGTAGATTAGGAAAGGAATTTCTTTTCGTGTTTTACAATTTTAAAAATAATCTTATAATTATTTCTCTACATAAATATCTATTTTTAAGAACGCAAAAGTGGCAGCTTTAATAAAAGTTAAGCTTCAATGCACGTAAAATGCAAAAACTATTGTATATTCTGCCATCATGCGTAAAACGAACAATTCCTTTAAATATTAAAACAAAAAAATAACATATTTATAAAATTAAATAATATTGTAATCACCTTGATTACGATTGTAAATAATACAAATATTCTTATCAACTATTACTTTTTTTATTTATTTTTAAGCTTCATAAAGCGTCTTTGGGTGTATTCGATAGTATCGATTTGTTAAATATTACCTAACATTAGTGGTGTTCGAATATCGATTAATCGACTAACAACTATTAGTCGGAGTAACTCGACTTTCCATAGAGGAATAAATCGATATCACTATTCAACTATCAAACAAATGTGCAATAATAAATGTACATTATGTCAAATGATATGGTTTATATTTTGTTCGTTATTATTAATATTCTATTAAATAAGATAACACCAGGCGACACTAGCGGTATCGGCGGGAAACATTTACTTTAAAAAAAAAATGTTTTGGTCTAATAATATGTATCTCTTTAGGTACGAATAGGTAAAATTATGAAGATATTTTAGTATGCTAATTGTAAAAGCACAATTAATTAATTTTCGTTTGTATATCCTGGTCGTTTCAGCATCTGTACTACAGTAAACAGTTGACGAAATCTCTGAACAAGTGGATACACAACGTTTCGAATTATTTTATTAAAGAAACCTATAATCAGTTCTGAACTCTTGCATTGCTTGACCGATTAATTATTATTATTATAATCGACATTTTATGTATGACTTAAAACATAAATTATAGTTTCATTTGCAGATTGTTTTTAGTTTTAGTTAGTAGTTTTGCCTACCGACAGAACTAGTGAAGGCAAATCGTGTTAAATAATGTAACTAAATATTTTTATTAATGATCTGTGATAGCTAAATGCATTTTAAGGCGTAAATCTTAAATGCTGTGAGTCCCGGCATACTATTCTTGATCCTATTTACAGTATGGAGCGACTTGCGTCTTTTTATATAATATTATAAGGCTGATAATATACCTAATTATGAATTTACAATTTAAGTTAAATAACATTATCATCAATCTTCTCAAATAGGTCAAAGTTGTACTTTAATGTACATAGGCTTTTCGCCATTTCAATTATTAAATGAAAAAAATTGTTTTCGTGTGATTGTACATATACAAAAATCATATCACAAAGTTAACTTTTTAGTCGCTGGAAAATAATTATGTATTAAGAGCCAATTTAGTTGAGAAAATGTTATATTATAATACATTGAATATAGAGCTTGCATGCCCGGTGTATTGTATTAAGCTGACCATTGAGCTTTTTGCGCTGTGACTTAACTATTTAATTTTTCTGTTATTTGTATGTTTCTTGTCTTGTATATTCAAAATGGCAATCACAGCGTAGGTAATAAAGACTTTTTTTCTTTCATGTCGCTGGAATAATCAGTTTTTTTTTCTTTCTATTGACGTTTACAACTCATTATCAACCAAATTAGCTGCTTATACGCATTACATTTTCAGCGTCGATACTTCTTCAAAATGTTAACTAATCAGCCCTGTTAAATTATTATGATATTAATTGTATTTTTAAATTGTTCGCATTATTACCGATTCCCAAACCTCACCGCCTAGACTTCTAAAGCTTCTATAAACGCAAATATACTAATTATTATTACTTTATTAAATCTAATTTTGGAATTTTATAAGACATGTTACGCGCGCGTGTATTTAGGCACTAATTACTTTTTTATAATTTATAATATTATCCTATCTAAGGGACGTATAGTATATTACATGCGATATATAATTTTTATGGTAAATAATATAATTATATTTGTATTTTTTTGTAACGACAGAAGATGACGTATATGACAATTAAAAGTTTTTTAGTCTGTTAATTTTATAATTTAATCTATACATATAAAGATAATTGTCAAGTTATCTTGTATAACTTGACAATATTGTATCTTTACGTTTTTTTAAACAATCATTCATGTTCAGTGAGAGTTTAAAACTTGCAGTATCACCATCATCATACTATATATAGGTATAGGTGTGCTTCTGTATGTATTTATATAGCTCATGTAATATACTATAGCAATTTCACTAATTAGGGTAATTTTAATAGGGGAACTTCAATAACAACAATATCGTATGATTAATTTGAATAAGTAGCATCAGACTAGTATCCGATCTGTTATTAATAATTAAAAATTGATTTTCGAAAAATTAGGGAAATTTACTAAGTATTTTCTCCTACCCTACGGGTAATTACACTAAAACTGTTATTGGCTAATAATATTGATTATGATAATTCACGCAAAGTATACAAAATATTGATAAATCAACATGATCCAACTGCATGGTCCCCCAATAAATAATGTACCTTATTGTTAATATATTAAAGTTTAAACTAGCTTAACAATTATTTATTTAATCACCTTTCTGCTTGCGAAGCGTAGTTACGCGAAGTACCTAATAGTACCGATTCATTTTAGAAACTTATAAGAAGGATTGTGACTTTCAGAATGGCAACAAAGAATATAACACCGTATTGCATTGATGTTTACGTGTATTTTTCAATGCAATGGTTAAAGGAACACGAGCATAAGGAATAATTTTAACTTAAAATAATAATACAAAAAGAAAATCAAATTTTCATATGTTTAGACCGTTTACAAGAACTTGTAGGGTTTTCTCGGCATTTTTAAAATTTGAACTGTCGTTCATAGATAATTTGTAAAAGTTTGAAGACCTGAATCTGTATTCAGGTCTTCAAACTTTGAATAGACCAGCAAATATATAATTAAAAAGTAACATAACGAAAAACGCGCTCCCATTGGTCACTTTACGGTTAAAAATGGCCGTACGTAACAACCAATGAGTGCACGATATTTTGCGTCAAGCGTATGATCAATAGTATGGTTGCATATTTAAGCTAACTTTGCTGTACGAATTATACACGGGCATTTTTAAATTTTAAACATGCAAGTACCAAAAGTTCCGCTATATAAATAGCGTGACCAATTCGAATATAATTAAAAAATCAGGGTAAGTATAGGTCTGATATAAATATTGATGGAAAGTTGTTGCAAGGTCATAATAATTCAAAGCATTATGTTTTTGATTGACTATACGTTTGTGAGCTGCATTTACGCAGCTCACGAAATGCATTTAGAATTTAGTATGTTTTGGATTATTTTTTTATAGTATAGTTCTTCAATCGAGCGGTCTGTTTACTCATGGTAAGCAATCAGCGCCTTCCTAGGACATTTGCAACCACCATTTGTTGGAAGAGCCTTAACAGCCTTTTGATTTTTGGTTTAATATTGGAGTATTGCGATTTGGGGATTGGGGATTGGAGGACGCAAGGATTGGACCTCCGCTAACCTCACTCACACTGCGACGTGACTGGAAAACACCCGTGATAAATCATATTGCAAGATAGCATAATTATTTAAAAATAAATAAAGCTGATAATGAATACCAAACTAAATTAAATATTATGTTTGCGGCTTACTCACGTAATTGTTTGACGAGATATTCGACTAGGAGCAGCGCGAAAGTCACCGCGTCGTGTGTCGCGTAATGCTCATGCCTATGGCATTAATATGGGCCCCTAGCATGGCTTGAAACTATTCGAGTATCTTGTCAAACAATTACGTGAGTAAACCGGAAACATAATAATTAATTTAGTATGTCTCACGAAAATTATAATAGGTAAAAATAAAAAAAATCTTTCTGAAATCGCTTAGTATGTATACATTTTCACTTATCACGAATAAGTACTAAAAAGCGCTTAAGCTAATACAAAATAAATGCTTAAATTTTTAATCTATGCTTAACGTTCTCAGCACCGTTGTGGGTCGCATTTTTGGTATATTTTTATTTTTTAATTATTATATTTTTTATAACATTGTATTGCTTTCTTGGTAACTTAAGTACGCAAATACAATTCACACAGTTTCTTGTAAATAAACTTTACTTTGTTTTCAATTCACAACATGGAGTCAATAATTTGTTCAAAATCACTTGAAGATTGTTCGATTTATTAAAGCATTTTTAATGTTTGGTATTGCTTATTTAATTATTATTATTTTGTGATAATCATTTTAATAGCATAAGCATTAAATTATTCGTGTTTAATAGGAATCTTGCATTTATTGACTATGCTCTACCATAGACCATGTTAAAAAAAACAAAATAATTAAATCCAGATTCCTAATAAACACGATTCATATGAACTTCTGCGTAGAGATGTCATCATAATTATCAATAAAAATCATCGATAGCTATGTGCTTAAAAATAAAATAAAAAATATCGATATCGCTATCGATAATTATGATAGCTTCCTTGGTTAGAAAATATTTACGTTCATCAATACTTAGAAATCTCACGTGGTCATTATAAATACGGACTTATTTATAGCTCGTTCCGTTCACTCACGAATGAATGAACGACATTATAGGACGAACGTTCTGGGGCCACATTAATTGATAAATATTTCAAACTTTAGCTCTATTTAAAGTTATTAGATAAATAAATATAGGTTTGAGGTTTTGTGCAGTCAACAATGACTATGTTATTTAAAATACCGGGCTTTGTAAAGCAGGCTTATAATAAAAACACACGGTTTCTGAAAGGCTTGTCAACGCTAAAATTAACTAATCTCCTGTTAAATCTCTTGTCAAGTCATCTGATTGGTTGTTTATAATTCAGTCAACCAATCAGATGACTTGACAAGAGATTTAATTGATTTTAACACGTTAACCGCCGCGTAGGTCACCGGTGACCTACGGTAGCGGAGGATTTGCCTTCAATAGTTTTCAGTCGGCAGTCAAAGGCTTAACATTGATCGGCCTTTCGGAAACCGGGTGTTAGTGTAATAACATAAAATATATTATTGTAGAACAAGACAACATTTGTGCAAAAATATAATTGCTTTGAAAAATCACTGCAACATTTATAGTTAGTAAACTAACTGAAAAGCCTTTGTCGCCTACCACTCCTCCCTCCCTCAGCCCAGCTTTATAACTGGTGACAATAACTGAGTACATTATGTATGTAAAACTTAAATAGAAATAAGCACCAGGCCCTTTATGACTATTATTTATAAATATTAAAACAAATGTGGCCCCTTGTAATATTAATGATATACTAGTTACAACCTCGTAACGTGGAGTGATGTAGTCATGTTTGTGGCCGCCAGGTGGCGCCACGGACGCTGAGCAGAACGCCTTGACGGTCGGCCCGACCCTATGTCTCTCTGTAAAGAGGTTTTTATATGTTAGTATTTTTTTATGGAATTAACCTTTAGCCAAGTCAATTATCTTTAATTATTAACGGTATAGAAAACGAAATAAATGTATAAATCATTGGTAATTTTTTTGACCAAGTGATTTGTGATAGTCAAAGAAATCTCTATACTTTGGCCAACTATTTGCAAGCAATATTTCGGGTACGTCAGTAACCACAACATTTTTAGTCAGTAAACGTAATACTTCTAAGTGTTGCAAGAGTACTTCATACTAGTTCATACTACTGTTACGCTAATTAATATTATCAAATAAAAATTAAAAAATTTCGATGTCGATTGAAAAAAGAATAATGAATTTATTAAAATAAAAACGCACCACTGCTTATGAATAATAATAAAAAAAATATTGACAATTATAAGTAACTAGGATTCTTAACAACCCAGGAGGAATAAGGGTTTTCCAGAACCTATGTGGATAAAATGGTGCGTTGATTCGGCATCCCTGCCCTGTATATTTATTTCGTTTTCTATCGCATTAATCATTATATAGATACTCAACTTAGTTAAGGCTATACAACCATGTGATGAAGTTAGAGATATTTTAATAATAGTGTTGAATGATGATGTATATATTTTAAGTTCTTAAAGTCACCATTTTTGTCCCTAACCGTCGTCAAAGTTACGGCATCACACCGCCACCTTCGTAAAAAAACATGCTAAAGTCGGTTATAATGAAAAAATAGGGTTCAAAATCCAAACTCAAAGCTCGCACAAACCTTGCTTATTACCGCAATGATAAACGATGAAAATGGGATCATATAATGATTAAGTATGATGTTTGAAAATCAACACCTCGAATAATTATTATTAATTTAAAACCTGCTTAGTTCGTAGAGCAAAGCCTTCACCGTGGGAAAAAAAATAAAAACAAATTAAATCGATGTTATTTGGCGCTTATTATGAGGCCAATGAAAATATCCACACGGGGTCATAGCCGTTAGAATAGCGTCATGCAGGTAGAGGGCAAAAATATTGGCCTAGGGCAAACTTTTGCCCGGGCGACCTCACTAACGTTTTTCAATGCACTGGCCGGTTAGCACCGGGCTGAGACCTTTCCCTAAGACTTTGGTGGTCGTCGAATGAGGGTCCCTCCTGCTGTTCTCGTATATCTCACGAGCCTTACTCTGGGGAAAAATGTGTGTGTTAGCATTCCATTTGTTCATTACTCCACGGTAATTATGTTTTTTTTTTCTTTTGAGGAATTAATAATGTCATCAAATCACTTCTCTAGCCCAGGATGAGGCGAGATGGGGTGTCAAACTCATACGAATTAAAAACGACCCCGTTCCTTCTCCTGCTCTGGGCCGAGGCCGCAGTACCTTATTGCTTGACCCTCAATCCCGGGTAGTATGGACATGTAGCGTACATTTTGTAAGAATAAAAAATTTCGTTCAACGATGTTATATGACCTGTATTCTCAGTGTGGTAGTTTTTTTACACACGGTGTATCAGGTTACCCCTATTAGCTAAATTCTACTAATATGCAACTTTATACCTTTGTAATAAAGTTGAAAGTACACTGGAGAATTTGGCTTTTGTAAAGACACACGTAGAAAAATTGTCTAGTTTAATCTTTCTAAACTTACTTTTTATTATTGACACGATTCGGCGTGCTGTGGTTCGATTGATGTGAACTATCGCTTATTTCGGAACTCGAACTTCTGATGTCACCTTCCATCTGGAAATTGGAGGAATAATTTCTTGTTAGTAAAGTAAATGGTTGGTATAGATGCCTAACATATTTCGATTGCAAAGTTTGAGGCCGTATTCCCATTATCATAGTAGTATTAGTATTGGAGTAATGTTACGGAAAATATGTTATAAAACATTTCAAAATTACCTTTTAAATAATTTTGACTTTGTCTTTGGAATAAGTTTGCACTTTATCACAATAGAACCAAAAATAAATAATTTAATCAAATAGTCAATACTTACATAAAAGCTGCAATATAAAAATGCAAGAGTGAGATATTTTATTGCGTATTTATGACTAAACTGTTGTGTCGATTTCGATACAGATATAGTCAGGATATAGGATTTATTTTGCAAAAACATTGTAAAGGCCTAAACAAATATCAGTTAAACTCTATGAGCAAATTCTTCAGGAGGCACTTAAAACTCATAAATTTTTGTAGACTACCTAAAAAAGAAATCTAAAATACCGTTGGTAGATATGAACAGAAATTGTTATTTTTAATACTGTCAGATCTTCTCTAAAAAGGATGTTTGGACCTGTTTGGTTTAAAAAGAATGTGAAGTTGGCTGTTTTGCAGTTAAACGTGGCAAAATATAATTATGTAAAACACATTGATAAAAATGTCTCACCTGTCCAGCACTAATAGCTTTGTAGGCAACCTGTAATATAAGCCAGGTCCAGACCATATGCAGGCCTAATAGTAGACACAGCAACGAGTTGAAGATGTAGTAGGCGGGGAACATCGGGAGCAGCATGGGGGCCCGGATCGATGTACTGGAAATATACAATAACATTATTGGAAATTGTTCTACTTTATGTATATTTCTCTAGTTAAATGTTTATAAATTATAGTTATCGCTTGATTGGTTCCGTCAATAGTAACATGCAAAGTTTCAATCAAATTAATTGCAATATTTTTTGGCGCCCAACATGGGTCTACCAATTCAACTTTGTCTTAATACAGTACTTTCCAACTAGTCAAATTCAATACGTTTATCCAAATGTGAAAAACGATAGTTTTCTATGAAATTTCTACGAAACACTGAGTTGTGACGTCATAGAATTTTTACGTCAAATAGCTTACTTATTTCTTAAAAATTAGCAAAAAAATATATAAAATTTAGTGTATCGATCGATCGATGAATAAAAGTATAGTTATTTTTCAATATTTTATTGTATTGAAACGTCAAATTAATTTATTTTTGACCTGGGAAACTACCCAATTATTTTAATGTCCTTTAAAACACGAAAATACCTTACTGTAATTTAATTTGAAAATTATCCTTCTATAATGTTTATGACTCTTAATATCGCCTTCCATTAACGAGTTCCAGATAAGAACAAGTTTCACCAAACAACCATAAATAGAAAACAAACTCACCTCCAAATAATGTAGAACGGATAGACAACGAGTCTTGAAATAATCCACAACACAGTAAAAACAGCAAAGATACTGTCACACAACCGTTGATAGTTGGCATACTTTGCCGCCTTCGCTGCATCCAAGAATATATCCGCACAATCATGGACTAAGAGTACGAGCGTCCCGATCCTGTGCAGGTTGCAGACCCAGCTGAAGGAGAGGAGCAGGATGGTGGCGATGTGGTGCACGAACATCTGCCAAAAGTCCTTGCGGCGCACGTCCCAGAACTGGGAGAACGTCAGCGACCAGTAGAACGCCGCCGAGATCATGTAGTACCACCAGATGTCATTCGTTAGACCCTGGAATCGATAGAAGAAATGTGAATGAGACATAAGAAACTTTATTTCATAATAAGGGGTGCCAAATACGGATTTAATCAAAATCTAGCAAAGTGTTAGATAAGGTTAAGAAGTAACTAAATACCAGTTAAAAGAAGAATGTATTCTTCTTTTTGTTTTAGAAATATGTTATTTGTTGTTCCATATTCTTTTTCACGATTATTTTAAATGTAGATACCATATTTTAAGGTAGTACCGTATTTTTCTTCATTAAAACTCCTTTGTGTATTGTGTCCCAAAGGACATATTATGCCGTTGTCAATGTTAATGAAGTTACGGAGATTGTCTATGTTATCATGGGTAGCAATGCATTGGCGCGAAAAGATTTCCGCTACCGCATTATTCTCAGGGGTAATTATTCATTATTCCATCATGGCGTCCTCGACAGATTCAATAGAAACGTTTAGCTAAAGTTTTATTACTAATGAGGCCTTGGAAAAATGATAAAAAGGAGAAAAAGCACCTTAATTGTAACCTATTTGTTTTACATCATTTACGAGTAGTTGACAGGAACAACAGTTGCAACAAATCGTACCTCGTGTTTGATTCAATTTATAAGGATTAAATAAAAAGCGATAACACATAGAAAACTACCCAAATCCTACTTCGAGAATGTATACCAGAAATTGTCAAATACAATTACATAATTGCAATTTGATAAATAAATCGTTTATTGTTTGTAAATATTTATTGCACGTAATAAATTATATTTTTATATAATTGAGAATACCTAAATTGATTGTCTATCTGAATGATAACTTGCACCTGTTGATAACCATGGTCTGGCGAATTCAGTCCATTTAGGATAACTTGGATACCAACAACTGTTAATCTACAAATCGATTGTATTTTTAGGTATAGCAGGACGACATTCCGCAGGAAGGTGATAACGCATTAGATATTACATGATCAAGTGTTAAAAAAATACCTATGTCTAAGACTAAGACAGTCTTGTTTTTGTAATTGTAGAAATATCTGCTTTAAACATATGCCTGTGGTATTAAGTTCAAGTACATAAATATTTAGTGGATATAAAATCCACAAATTGTTTTTCCGTGTCTGGGTGTGGTGTGTATGTGAAATTGTATGTTTGTAAACGCACACAGGAGAAATTAAAGCGTGGGCCAACCGTTTTTTTTTTATATATAAAAAGAAAGAAAAGAGACAAGGAATCTTGACGCTACGCTATATACGCAAGGCAAAGATTTTTAGTCAGTAAGAAACTGTCATTATTCCATTTCACCTAGGGCGGGAGAAGTACTTTGAAATTAAACGTGAAAACCTCTGAAAAAAGGCAGGCGGGTAGGAGATCGCAATTTAAAAAGATCACTATTATCAGAGCACGCTGCTCCGATTTATATTTATTCTGCAGTCCACAAGTTAACTCTTAAGACAACTGCAGAATTAGTAGCGGTGATATCAAATAAGGCCCAGGCCTAGTCCAGCCCTTTGACGAACAATCGTGATCTTTACATTTGCGTGTTACACTAAGAATGTCGAAATAGGCAGGCACACCTCTTACAAGTATCTAGCATCCACTCGTTAAATATTACATAATTGATATTCGTCATTCATTAGTACTATTCGTGCTGCGCTATTCAAGCTGAGCTACGTTGCGTTGAAGCGATAATTACCAACAATCTGAACTGTGTTGTTTGAAGGAGTACGTTTTAAAAGAGTATTGGTTTAATATCTAAGATGTACAAGATAAAAAAAAACTGGATGAAATGGTTATTATTTGTCATAATTCTGGGCTGTTTCGATCTAGATAACAATGGTGATTGATAATTGCTAAATTAGGTACATTTGTTCAAAAAAATCTCCAATAGAATACACGACAGTGGTATTATGTGGTAACTTATTTTTACACAATGGGCGAGAGGGAGTGTCAGACTATTACTGACTAAAAACCACCCCATTCCTTATAACCATAACGATGTAATTTTTAGGGAGAATAACTTTAAAAACGACCTACAACCGTCGCAACTGTTGTAAGTTAGAACCTACAGTAACTAATATATAAAAAATACCTAATCACTGAAATCCAGGTCCAGCGCGTTTCAGGGAATCAAGCAACTGCTTTGGATCCCCAAGCAAAATAAGTATACAAACATTGTTCAATAATGTGTTCGATTTCTACTTATGTTAAAATATACAGCAAAGAATAAATAACGTAAACCTTTACTAACCTGGTGTGGATATCCAATATAACACTGATCAATATCCCAAAGCCACTCCTTCTCCCATAATATAAAAAGGCCGTAGGAGAAGTTGTACAAGTAAAATGTGAAGCGCCACATATTCTCGCAGAACTTCACCAGGGTCGATGGTTTATCCTGGCTCCTTCTTAATCTCCACCATCGTTCCACCTGCCTCTCTGTCATGTCGAGTTGCTTTGCTAACGAACATATCTGGAAAAGTCATTAATATATTACAATTTCCACTAAACCTTAAACTTGGAGTAAGCCAGTGAAATATATGTGTCGGAAAAAAAGAAGATCGTGTAGTTCTGTGGGTTAGTTTGCGATGTTTTGTAAGTAAATAGATTTCAATCATAAATTAGATGTGTATGTATAGATATAATGTTTGCATGTGTTAGTAACAAAGCCTTCTATTTTCAAAAAGCTACAAGTCAACGATACAACATAACCAAAAAACGTTTGCATGCAAAATCTCGAACTACATATTCATATTTACAGGGTGCAGCGTGCAGCGTAAGATACTCTGAATAACGTTTCAAAGTTAAGAGTTGTTTGAGAATTGACAATAACATTGATATGGCTAAGTCAGCTAACTTAAATAAACTTGGTAACATAAAATAAATAGATTCGCTCGTAGAAGAACAAGAACCGATCTTTACTTAACGTATCATGCAAAGAATATCTTAACAATCAGAAAGACAGGTACCTACTTTTCAGGCTTACGTATTGTTTTAAATCTAAAAATTAATTACCGATTCGAATCCATAATCTCAGATTTGATAATTCGACAGAAACTACATACAAATAATGCCAAGGATCGGATTAATATCGGGTAAGTATTACCTACTTTACGCCATACGTATGTTTTTTTTCTTCGGGTATTTATAATCTACATATTTCTAATAGTGAACTGTCTTTCGAGCTGATGACGACGATGTTGATGGACATTAAACCAAAATATATGCAGCTACCAAAATAAATTCAAATAAAGACGAACCAATTACTACAGATAACACATTATTAAGTCACATCGGTACAAACCATACCATATGACGTTGTATAACAATTACATCCAATCACGAACATGCTCATCACTTCGTCTAAGATTTTATTCAATTTATTAGTGAATGTGCTTTGGCCTCGTTTCTGATCGTGACTCGAATATTAACAACATTGTTTTTGAAGCTAAAATGTCATGTACGAAGCGGATTTATGAAGTTCACCTTGTCATTTTAGTCTAAGCTTTCAATCCTGCATTGGCTTAGCCTATAGTTAGAGCATCTATCAAAAGTGTAAGCTATATTTATTCTGTAAACTATAGAAATGGTAAAGACATTTGATTGATTTTATGTAAAACTTTGAATGTATGTTTGTTACCTACTCAATTATGTTACAAAAGCTGAAAAGATCTGGATGAACATCAGCAAAACGAAAGGATTTTAGTCCCCAATAGAAAATAAGCAATGTTATCATTTTTTATACATTGTATCAGTGTTTAGTTTTGCTGAAATATCCTGTCGCAGGACTGCAGGAAGAGATTCCAAAAGGAATAATTATGCAGTACCTATGTATCTTTTTTTATTGTATTTTTTTTTTGTACATGTATAAAATACATATGCTGTTTTTAATACTAATACTGGCGAGGCAGCTGGCAGATCTAGTACATAAATGAGTAGATCTAAGCTGTCAGATTTTCGATAAAGGAAAAGATGTTTACCGGAATATGATATGTTATGATTTCTTGAGAAAATCGTCTGGTAAGGCCTGGTATGACGTCAAAGCGTAGGTACGTTAGTAAACAGCTAATAGAGAAATCGTAGCGTTATGTCCAATGGACGGTGTTCTAATCAATCGAGATTTTTTCTGTTGTGGCAATAGTTGGAATTCAAATGGTTTTATTCGAATTACATTGATACTAAAATCTATCAATTTGATACCATTCATAGTTGAAGATGTTTTGCTTCTTGCCTTTTCTAGTTTGTAAATGCGTAGTTCAATAAAAGTCATAAAGATTTTACAATAAATTTAGATTTCTACCAGCAATTCCGACTGAATTAAGCAAGGAATGACGACCTCCTATTAAAAATGAAGACAATCACTACAACAACTTCATTTAAAGTTTCAATAGACCTCAATATATAACTTTTTCACTTGTATTTCTACATTATTATTTCATCTAATATATTATTTATGCGACGGTGTCACGAAGCAGTTAACGCTACAGAATGTCGATAGTATCTATCGTAAACACTGAATTATGTAGGAGGGATAGTGGCCTTGGGAACGGGTCAGGTGGTACACCGTTCGTTTTCATTCACTGGCAGAAATACTGAGCAATTTTCAGTACCTTCGTTTTGAGGAGTGTACAGTACTTTTCGTTTGTGTTCATCTAATGACTTCTCTAGCCTTGGGCTAGAGCGAGTGTCAGACTGTTACTGGTTAAAAACCATACCATTCCTTCACCTGCTTCAGACAACTCCAAAAGTACGAGTTTTATTAAAGTCATCATTAACTTATCGACTGCACGATTAGTGTAAATTTATAGCTGCTTCTGTAGACTGATATAATTTCTGCATTGATCCAATTTATTTATAAATGTTATTCAATGGCGCCTGACAAGGCTTTATTGGACAGTGCACCCACAAATCAAAATAGGAGACAATCCTTTTTTCATAGGAGGAAAATCATGACATCTCTCGCCTAACGTGAGGAGAGAGGGAATGTTAGACTATTACTGACTAAAACCCCCGTTTTTTATCCTGCTGCTGGGCAAAGCCGTGGTCCCTTATAGCGCAACCCCGGCTGATAGGAGAAAATACTACCGTGGGTACATGATTACAGATAAAAATGAAAAATAGTTCTAGACTTACAATAAACATTACACAACTCATAGACACATCAGATCCCCTTAAAAATATATTCAAGTAAAATGTTACAATGCTAAACTAACTTAGCTAATTTTGAATTAGAAATTTAGAAAACTCATATCGTTTTTACAATCAGATTTTAGCCTCACCAATTACACGCCACTGAGCTCGGCTGTTCATCTCACACTCGTTTTACACACAATGAAATAAATCTTAGTTGATTAATATCATAACGAATATGCACCTAATATAAAAATGTACAATGTATATACGTTATCCCTTTCCTGTTAACACAGCGGAACCGAGCAAACAAGTAACCCGTTGATATAACAGTACTTAGTTCATATGCATTTAATAAAACCACACGCCATTATCAAGTGACGGTAATATTGCATGGGGTGCGTCTACATAAGAATACACAGTTTAATTAAAAATCCTGTCAATCGATCATTTTTATCGCTACATCAATAATGATATTCGTTCCCAATATTACAATATAGGAGGGGTTACTATCTCAGTGTAAAGTTGAAGTATGCAGTCTAAAATGTTCACCCAACTTGAATATTTGACATTTGTATTACGAAATTCCGTTTGTGAAAACTACTAGACAAAACAAATTATATCAATAAACCTCTGGTTGTAAAATCACACACGTGTTTAGGTTGATGTACGACCAGTAAATTCAGGTACTTAAAAAGTCAAAAAGTCAAAAGTCAAAAATCATTTATTCCAATTAGACCTTTACAGGCACTTTTGAACGTCAAACAAAATTTAAAATAAAAAATAGTGTCAGTCTGTCGGTCAGTCCTCTTAGTGAAGCTATTTGCTCGTTCCAAAGTGTAGATTCCGATGGAGAAGAACGAGCAAGAAACTCCATGGTTACTCTTTTTAAATCAGTTTCACATACAGATTCCTTTTACAAACAGTTGGTTCAATTATGTGAGAACAGTGTAACACTAATATTTATTCAAATATAAAAATAAAGTAACCTTAAGGACAATAGACAGTCTGGAGCTGACCAGTCCCAACTGACGGCGCTCGTTCACGAGCATGACACGTACACCAGCATCGCCCAACTCAACCATATTATAGGGAATTAAGCGATCCAGTGCCCATGCCACCGCCAGTGTGACCTTTCAGTGAGCATGACAACTCCAAGCTGTTATAAGGACCGACATTCTGCTAGTCTAACCAATTATAATAGGTTACAGGGCACTCACATTTACAAATTTATCAAGTTATAGTTATACAATATAATGCAATTTCACTAAAATGAAGAAGTCCCGTTCAAGCAAAATCCATTGGAACGTTATTTATTTTGGTGTACGTTTGCTATCCTGTGGAGCAGGACCAGCATGTCTCCAAGCATCTTTATCTACAATGTAATCATTCAGTGTGTAGTATGCTTTTCTACATAAAGTTTTCTTTACACATAATTTAAAATTTCTTTCATTTAATTGTTGTATTTCGCCTGGGATTTTGTTATAACATTTAACACAGAATCCCATGAACGACTTATGTACCTTTGCCAATCTAAATAATGGCTGACATAATCTATCTCTATGTCTAGTTTGAAAATTATGTCTATCTGACACCTTATCGAATATTTTTAAGTTTTTCCTAACATACATAATGTTTTCATAAATAAACTGACATGGCACGGTCATAATATTGATCTCTCTAAACTTTTCTCTAAGAGACTCACGACGCTTTAGATTGTAAATAGCTCTGATGGCACGCTTTTGCAAGACAAAGATAGACTCAATGTCAGCAGCCTGTCCCCACAACAAGATGCCATACGACATAATGCTATGAAAGTAGCCGAAGTACACCAGTCTTGCAGTGTCCACATCTGTTAGCTGTCGGATCTTCCAGACAGCAAATGCTGCAGAGCTCAACCGTCCTGCCAGAGATGTGATATGGGGCCCCCATTGTAGTTTGTCATCTATGGTTATACCCAGAAAAGTAGTTTGTTTTACAAATTCCAATTTATTACCGTTTAATAATATGTCACATTCGGTACTTTTAACATTTGGCAAACTGAATCGTATACATTTAGTCTTTTTGTCGTTTAGGACTAAATTATTAATTGTAAACCAATTATGAACCTTCGTTATAGCATTATTTACGTCGTCATAATTATCTGTCCGTCTATTTATTTTAAAAATCAACGATGTGTCATCAGCAAATAATACCATTCCCGGTTCACGTTGAAATAAATGAGGTAAATCATTTATGTACACTAAAAACAGGAAAGGACCTAATATTGAGCCCTGTGGTACGCCCATAGATATGCTAGTACCCTGGGAGTTCACTTTATTTACTTGTACTTTGAACTGCCTA